ACCCCCCCCCCCCGTCTCTTGACTGCCCCCTCCAGAACCTCCTTGCCCCTTCTCCGACCCCCTGGCCCCCTTACCCTGCCACTCGTCCCGGCACGCTGGGCAGCGGGAGGAGGAGCGGGGGAGGAGCTCCAGACTGCCGGAGGCGATCTGCGAATGCAGGGAGGGAGGGAAGGAGGAAGTGATCTCAGCTGCAGGGGAGAGGAGGAGGGGCTCTCTCTGGCTGTTGGAGCCCCATGTAAGTGGCACCATCCGGCCGGCTGCCCTGTTAGCCGCGCGCACTCTGCATGTTGGGGGGGGGGAGTCCAGACACTTACAAATTCCCCCCGGACGCTATTTTTAGGTCAAAAAGCCGGACATGTCCGGGGGAATCCGGAAGAATGGTAACCCTATGCTGAGTCAAAACCAGAAGGAGAGGAGTGTGCTAGCTAAGCTTCAAAACTCTTGCGTTTAGTGTCACTGCAGTGCAGATTCGAAGGTGAAAGCAGAAGCTGGATGCAGTAGTATTAGCATTCAGGTCACGCCTCTGGTTTCAAAAGTAGCCATAAACTTGAAATTGAAAAATCAAAGACGAATGCAGTTATACCCTTTGTAGATACATTCTTTTAATAGTCATAAAGCATTGGTTTAATGGTATCATCTCAAGTTGTCTTGTATTCCCTTCTGAATCAAATCTCTTCTAAATGTCTGCAAGAGATGTCAGATACTCATAAAATGTTTGAAAGAGAGAGAATCCAGGGCAAGGCCCATGAAGTACTTAATCTTTTTGCATCTGAATTGTCCACCCCCAGTGGAAGTACAGCCAGCAGTGTTCTAAGAATCCCGTGAGTGCAAATGTGAGCTTTATGGCACCTTTGCACCCTTCTCCCTGACTCCTTTTGTGCTATGTGCTTCTTGGGTCTTTTTCATCCCATTTCTCTCCCCCCCCCCCATTTCTGAAGGATTTTTGGACCCTTCATAGTAATATATTTTAGTAATACTCTAAAGAAATATAGACTACAGTAAAAAAGTAGCCTGTTTTCTGCTGTTTAATCTCCAGCTGTTTAAAGGATATTTGATCTCAATTTAAAAAAAAAATTACCTTATTCTCATGGACTGAGCAAAACTCTTCACCATCCAACAACAGAATTAGGCTTGAAAGAACTAGATTTAAATTAGTACATAGAATCATAGGACTGGAAGGGACCTCAAGAGGTCATCTAGGCCAGTCCCCTGCATTTATGGCAGGACTAAGTATTATCTACCATCCCTGACAGATGTTTGTCTAACCTGCCCTTAAAAAAAATCTCCAATGATGGAGATTCCACAACCTCCCTAGGCAACTTATTCCAGTACATAACCACCCTGACAGTTTCAAAGTTTTTTTTTCCTAATGTCCAACCTAAACTATCCTTGCTGCAATTTAAGCCCATTGCTTCTTGATCTGTCCTCAGAGGTTCAGAGAACAATATTTCTTCAAGCGCTTGCTCATGTCCATTCCGTATTAGGTGTGTGTGCTCCCCACGTGCACCGCTGCCAGACATTTTTCCCTCAGTGGTATCCGGGTATCCGTAGGGGACTAGCTCTGGCACCCTCTGAAGTGGAACACATATGGCACAGTATAAGGGGCGCTGCCGGCTCCCCCCACCCTCAGTTCCTTATTGCTACCAGACGCTGGAGCTGCTGCTTCGGCTAGCCTTTTCACTTTGTTTAGTGTTACGAACTCTTTCTTGTAAAATAGTTGTACATAGTTAAATTATCCCTTAGTGTCTTAGTGTTAGTGTGTTTAACTTGGTTAGTCCTGAACAGGACTTGGCCTAGGGACGGGTCATGCTTTAATCCCTGCAACCACTGCAAAAAAACCTATGCCTATCAGCGATCCACGTAACAGTTGTTGAAGGTGTGTAGGCGAGTCGCATATAAGCAACAAGTGCTGTAACTGCAAGTCCTTCAAGCCTTGGACCAAGAAGGAGTGAGACATCCGTGTCAAAGCTCTCCTTACGGAGTCCGCTCCAACGCCGGCACTGGAGTAGTTGAGGTCCGACTCTGCCCCGAGCACCGCAGCGTCGATGCGGAGCGCCCCACGGGTGCCGTCGACTGACTGTCACCAATCCCCTTCCCCGGCATCGGCCAAGCGACAAAAGAAGACCAGGAGAGGAAGATCTACATCCCGCAAGGGGAAGGAGAGGGGAGGAGGGCAGGTGGGCACCTCCCAACTGGGAGTCGGGCCCCAGCTCTGGTCGAGCGGTCCAGCCCATCCCGATCCATGTCTGCCACGCTGGACAGTGACGCGGGCCTTCGTCAGCTAGAGGTCCCGTCAATGCCCAAGACCCTGCAGGCAGTGCAGGATATCCTGGCACTACCGGTGCTGCCCACACCAGCTACAACGGTACCCCAGTCTAAGGGTAAACCCTCCTCGGGTTCTTTTTATAGGTCCCCGTCTCAGCAGCACCATTCCCTATCTCTGGGGACGTCCTGCCTGCACGGAGCCACCAGGCCTCGAAGGCAGAGAGGCAGGCTCGGTGAAGCTTTGGCCATTCTCTGGCCTCAGGGCACTGCCCACAGGGCTTGAGACACTCCTCATCGATGACCTGGCAAAGGCCTGTAGAGGTACACCCTTCCTGGCATCAACAGCACCGAGACCAGACCAGCGCTTCACCCATTGCTCGGCACCGGTCGCGGGCCCGAGACAGTCGATCCCAGGAGCAGAGTCACCCGTCGTCAGCTTGCCAGTATGTATCACCGTGACATGGATCCCCTTGGTTGGGAGGAAGGTCTTTGGGGTGGCTGACCCGCTTCAGCTCCCAGTCTTGCTCTAGATCCCAGTACTGATTGAACAGCGTAAGGCGTAGATCGCCGGAACGCCATTGCCGATCTGCCAAACACTGCTGGTCTCAGAGGACCTGCAGAAGGGACTAATCCTGAGCGGAGAGCTCCCCATCGAGGCTCAACGATAGGCACCTCAGCGAACGGGGTCGCCGGGTCGCCAGGCCACTCGCTCGGGGTCGCCTGAGAGCAACCACGCAGGCTCGGTTTCCAGCACCGGGCAGGAGTCTTTGCTGGCGGGCCAAAACCCGGCACCGGTGGTTCCCTCGATGTCGGCGGTACTGCCAACTACTCCATGGCCCCAGGGCCAGTGGCCGGCTGCCTGGTACCTGTGGAACCCATGGGGCTTTACCCAGCCTTCACAAGGGCTCAGGTTGGTAGCGGGGGCCTCGGACAAACCATCGGCTTCAGTATCCCGACCTCCCCCCGAGCCAGCTGTTCCTGAAGAGAGAACTCCTCAGGCTCATGTGGATCCCAGGGATCAGCCAGTTGGACCACCAATGGACGCATCAGACCCAGTGGCACCAGATTCTTCCTCCTCGTCTTCGCCTGATGAGGCAATTGCGGGCCCTCCTCACCCAGTTCTTCAGGATGATACTAAGGCTCATCAGGAACTGTTGAAAAGAGTTGCCTCTAACCTGGCGCTCCAGGCTGAGAAGCTAGAGGAACTATCAGACTCCCTATTTGATATCTGCTGCTCAACGGCACCGGCCAGGGTGGCTCTCCAGATTGTCCATCTTTCCTGAAATGTTGCGCCCAGAACTGAACACAGTACTCCATTTGAGGCTTATTCAGACCCAGGGACCCTATAGCCGGCGGCCACGTGCTGCCGCTCCTCCAACTCCCATCACCTATTTCCCTGGGCCACTTCCCCACAGTCCTAGCACCTTCCCAGCCCTTTGTGTCAGAGGCCTCAGTCTGGCAGTCCTCAGGCTGGAGCTGCCTATTGCTCCTCTGACCCTGCCCAGCACTGCTGTATCTAAAGTACTCCTCTAAGGCAGCCAGTCGTTCTTCCTTGCACTCCAGGGAGAGACTGCCTCTGCTCTGTTGAGCAGCCCTTCTTATATGGCCGTCCTGGCCCTGATTGGCTGCTCCAACAAACTTTCCCCTGACCGGCTCTTTACAAGCCCTCCTCCCCAATCTCCTGAGGGCTGCTTTAATCCTCCATCTACCTGTGTGGGGCAGCTGCCCCACCACAGACACGTTTTGACAACCCAGTTTTGGGTCATGTAGTGTGGGAAGCCCTGGCAGGTTAGGTCTTGAAGTTGGGGGTTCATGTCCTGACTCCGGGAGGAGGCTGCAGCCCACCCCACACTCACCTCAAAGCAGCTGCTCCTGTGGCTTCAGTCCTGCGAGACTAGCCGGGCTTGGCTTGGCTTCCCACAGTGATCGCAGTGGTGCTCAGGTTTGGCCCAGCTGCCCCTCTGTCATAATGACTGGATGGGACCAGGCACACGAAGTTTGAGTGACTGGCACTGCAACCTCATGCACCAAGGCGCAATACCACTCCACAAATTTGGTCCAGCTGTCCCTCCATCAAGGGGCCTGGGCCAAACTTGAATGACACTACTGCCCCAATGGTTGCAATCCCCAGAGCAGGGAACCAAGACGAGCCAGTCTTGCTGGGCAGGAGTTGCAGGAGCCGCCACTGTGGTGTACACAATGTACTTATGTAGTACTTATTTTGTTACCCACAATATAGAATATACCGATTAAGAAATACTTAGTAAGCCAGATTTTTTGTATTAAAACTTATTTACTGGGTCATGACAGGCCATCAAAATTTACAAATGGGTCCTGAGCCTAAAAAGGTTGAGAACCACTGTCAGTTTGCTTTTGTAACTGGCTCCATGTGTAAAACTCTACTGTGAGGAGTGCTGTTTTGGCCAATGCTACTGGTTTGTTGGACAACTTTAGATAACTCCCAACTGAGTGGCAGGAAAGCCAATCAGAAAGCAAGAGGGGAGGACAAATCTAATCTTAAATACTGTATAGTATGAATCTTCATGTGTATGCAAGTATATCTGGGAAGTATTGAATATTCCCTGTAATCTTCTAAAGTTATATCCCTGATCATGTGTACTAATGCATATCTGGAAACCAGCTAATTACATACAATACTATCAACCTTGTCTTCTTCCTTTTAAGGTATTGTGTCAAGGTCTGGCACCCTGACGTATGAAGCTGTACATCAGACGACGCAAGTTGGATTGGGACAGTCCTTCTGTGTTGGTGGGTTTCTTCCACCAAACCTCTTCTGTTAAAGACAGACAGGCCCAGTCAGTGTGTAAGAACCACAACACATTAGATTGTAGAAACTATTGAAAAATATTGAATGCCTTTTAATTTTGGTTAGAAATGTTACACCTTTTCAACCAACCTAACTCAGGCACTTTTCATCAATAACGATGCAGCAGAATATAACAAGCCTTTTCTGTTAACTAACTCTTATGTTCTGAGTTCATCAAAAGCCTGACCAAAGCAGTCTTGCATGGAAAACTGCCAATAGGCAGGAACCTACTGTGGTTTTATTTCTATTTTAAGGCACAACATAGAAAATGTAGCTTCTTATCTTAGTAAACTTCTTGGGCCAAATTTTCTATTGGTGTAAAAAGTTTCACCCATTTACACTATTGGAGAATGTGGGCACATATTTGTTATTTTCACGTGTTCATGGAATAAAAATCAAGATCTGGCGCTTAGCCATAGAAACTGTTTTGAGAGAGCAGAGTTGCTTTGAGTATTTTGTTTTTTAAATGATGCAGCCCTTAGGGTATGTCTACCTTTGAACTTCTAGGTGCGATACCCGCACTAGGTCTGCTTGAGCTAATGCCTAAAAATAGCAGTGTGTCCATGGCGGCTCGGGCTAACTAGAATACATACGCAGGGGCTCGGATGGGTTTGTACTTGGGGTGGCTGGCCCAAGATGCCACAGCAGCCACATTGCTATTTTTAGGTACTAGCTTGAGGAGAGAAAATGTGGGGATCACATCTGACAGCTCAAATGTAGATATACATTTAGTTAGCCTTTAGATTGAACTATCTTTCAGTGTTTAAAATTAGTACATTCAACACTTCCTGCCTGCTAGTGGCAGATTATCCTGGTCATCTCTGGCTTGGAAGTACAGTGTAGGAACAAAGGTGGTAAAGACAGGTTTTCTTTGGGCTGGAAATGTCGGATTGACTGCCTGAAATTCTTTTGTCCACGAACTCTGTACAGCACAGACAGGCATCCTCACACTGACAGTTCTGAGCATGTTCCTTAAACCTGACTACGGGTGAACGTGAGTTGTCACGTCCATTATATTCTTATTTGTTTTGCAAAGACTGGCACACAAAGATGCATGTTGACCTAAAATTTTAAAAAGCTCTGACTTATGTGTATTGAGTTTCCAGACTTGGTGAGCTCTTCATTTTAGGCTATTTTCACTGCCCAAAAAAGATGTTGTTGTTTTTTTTTTTTTTTATAGTGAGATTATTAATGCAAGTCAGTTATCTTGCCATAAAATCCGACAAGGGAGTTTTTATGTTGCTTGGTGAGTTAACTATGCCCTCCGCCTTAGGCTCACCTCGCCTAGCTGCATTGAGGTAAAAATTACCTGTGCCTTGTCTCCACTTGGATTGGACAGTGAATTAACTGGCATTAGTCATCCATCGCACTATAAAACACCTTTCTTGGCAGTGAAGACATAGCCTTATTTTAGTGTTTGAAATACTTGCCACTACGTGTTTGGTTGTTGGGTTTTTTAAAACTGTACTTTGACTTGCTTGGGATTGAAAGGATCCCAGCTCTACCACAGGCATCTTGTATGACCTTGGGCAAGTCATTTAATCTGCCTATGCCTCAGTTTTCCATCTGTAAAATGAGATTAATAATCTCTTCTCCTCCCCCCGCCCCCAACTCTGTGCACTTTTTATCTATTCAGATTATAAGAATTTGAGGCAGTGATTGTCTAGTACTATGTATACAGTGTCTTGCAGAGAGGGGCCAGATCTTGATTGGGGGACGCTAAGTGCCAGTGTAATACAAATAATAATAATAATAGACTGAAATTAAATTTGTTTGTCTTGGTTGTTCATGTTCACATTTACTCATGTTTGTGTTTTAATTCCTTTCAGGGATTGGAGGAGATCCCTTCAATGGAACTAATTTTATTGACTGTCTTGATGTCTTCCTGAAGGATCCCCAAACAGAGGGGATAATATTGATTGGTGAGATTGGAGGCAATGCTGAAGAAGATGCAGCAGCGTTCTTGAAGGAAAATAATTCCGTAAGTTTAAGAGAATGTGCCATTCATTCCAAAAGACCCCATGAAATGTGCACCTTGTTTTAAGCATTTACTGCTGTAGAGAAACTTGTCTAGTTCTCAATTAATAAAAAGCCATTACTAGAAAGTGTGGAAAATGCAGTTAAAGCCAGTTAAAGATAGGGTTTAAAGACACTCTTGAGAATAACTTTAGATCACAATTCTGCAGTGCTGTCTGCTAGAAGAAGAGCCTTTGGGTAGCTCAAAGCTTATCTCGGTCCAATAAAAGTTGTTACCTCCTACACCTTGTCTCTCGAATATCTTGGGACCAAGTTGGCTACAACAACGCAGCTTATATTTTAATTGTTTTGTGACCCATATATGGCTGCTCTGTAGAAGAACTGTTTTATATTCATGACTGCTCTTTACATACACACTTGTTCTGAGAGAAGCCATTCTAAGTATCCTAGGCCAGTGCTTTCGTATCCCTTACCTGCAGGGTTTTCCTAGTTTAGATGTCTAGTTCTTGCCTTCCCCCCTGCTACCCTCTTGAGCACTTGGCCGGAAGCAGTCCATCTCTTTCATGTTAACAGTGTCTCTTCTTTCACCACAGAGTCCAAATGCCAAGCCTGTAGTGTCATTCATAGCTGGTCTGACTGCTCCTCCTGGCAGAAGAATGGGTCATGCTGGGGCAATCATTGCTGGGGGAAAAGGTGGCGCTAAAGAGAAAATTGCTGCTCTTCAAAATGCTGGCGTTGTTGTCAGTATGTCTCCTGCTCAGCTGGGTAGCACTATACACAAGGTTAGTTACATGGATGTCATAAGTGCTTTGAAATGATGGCATTTAGCCAGCGTAACCAGAACAACAGACATTTGAAAACTGCCTTTTGCTTTTGTGTCAGTTTTGCTTCTTCCCAGTGAACAGTTATAATACACTGTTTCCTCATTTAAGTCTATTTAAAACTGCATCTCGGCATGTAGTGGCTCTGCTGAACAAAAAAAGCCATTAAATAACAGTTGCAGCTGAGTTTTTATTCACACAAGCAGCTTTATGGGTCATGTTCTCCTTTGTCAAAGCCATGTGGCAAAATTCAGAGAATTATATTTGGCTCAGTAACAGACTAACACCACTTTTATTTTACAGCAGCTAAACATCATCTGAACCTAAATTGATTCTAGATCAGAAAACACCCTTTGTTTTTTACATTACAAATACTAGGTAACTTTGTAACAGTGCATGGACTATCTTCTCTTTTTCCACAGCTGTCTATTGATGTCATTTTAAGAAAATTATTTTAACTTTTTAAAAATAAAAAAAGGGCTAATTCATATCCCTGGGCACATGCTTGCAATTCATAACAATCATGTACCTCATACAGAAGTTTAACTCCTTCCTGATTTCTCCTGCATAGATCTACAAAGGTCTTAGGCATTGCAACACTCAGCAAATTGCAATGCTGAACTTCTAAGCACCTTGTCCTCTGGTGGAATCCACAGCCCTGAGTTAGAGCCTAGGTTCTCTGTACATCTCATGGGGAGAGTTAGGAGCCTACAGATGGGATCCACAAAAGCCAACACACTCAACATTGGAGCTGCCTAAGCTAGCCAGTTGGAAATGTTGAGAAGAGGGGCAGGGATTTCCCCTAACCACTGGACTATGGGGTATTCTGGTGTTGGAGACTCGTTCTTACCTGTTGAAGTTGTTCCTTTGGGTATAAATTAAATATTCATTTGTCCAGAGAGAATGAGTGATTCTATTGACTGATGGTTTGGGCACTCACCTGAGATGGGAGCCCCAAGCTGGAATGCCTTCTCCACATCAGGCAGACTGGGCAACGGAACTTAGATCTCCCAGATGAGTACTCTAACCACAAGGCTGAAAATTACAAGGGAGCGCCCTCCCTCCCCGCCCCCCCCGACTGTTTTAGGTATGCTCAGACGCACCTATTGGTTTGGGCCTTGCAGGTGAGATAGGTGGGGGAATGCCTATTTTGATGTTCCTTCCCCCGGGGGTGTAGGTATGAAACAGGGCTCTAGACTGATGTGGCTGTGCGCATGCTCACTGGCAGAAAAGTAGGATGCCTACGGAACTTGAATGGTGGAAGTTTAGATGCTTAGGGACTTTAGGTGTCTCCAGCATTAGGTGACAGCTGAGCAGGGGTTTTGAGGATCTCTGTGCTGCCCACAGCTGCAGGTAGGCGCCTAAGGCCTTTTTGTGGATCTAGCCCTAATTTTTTCCAAAGTATACACAGTCACTTAACATTTATTTTAACTATCTTTGCTTTTCTTTCGGGATAACTGCCACAGCAAGATATTTAGAAAATTTGCACTTTTTCTGCTGTATTTCTGCATACTTCACAATGGAGGTCTTAACTAAAGCTGGGTGAAACTTCTTCAGCAAATAGGAAATTCACCAAAAAATGCATTTTTTTCAGTTCAGCAAAACTAATCACAAATTCAAAGGGGTTTCAGCTTGGAAAAGTTTATTTTTTCAAAAAGTTGAAACAGTTCATTTTGACCATTTTGAAATTTAGCTAAAGAGTTCAGTTTTAGTTCCAAACAGATTTTTTTTTGGATGTTTTTAGTTCAGCCTCTGGACTGAAAAATCAATTATTAGTCTTAACCATTTCTAGTCAATTCTTTAAAGAGCTGAAATGCAAACTGCTGTGCTTATGCAGCACCGTTATAAGAATTCACTGAAAGAATGTTAGACCACAGCTGGGGACAACAGGAGTGCCCTGACAACATCCTATTTAGATGAGGCTGATGAGTTAATGTGTTACAGGTTCCTCACAGCGGGGTTTTTTTGTTTGTTTTTGTTTTCTTTTCCCCTCCTCTCGTGCATCTGCCATGGGCTCTTTTGGGGGTATGAGATGGGGAGAGATATTTTCCTCCTCCTCTCCTGTGGAATCTACTATCTCCCCATTTTAACTTGGTACTAAAACTTCCCTGTTGGTGTATCAGGCTTCTGATTGAAAATTGAGGCATGTTGTCCATCTCGCTAGCAGGTGGAGGGGAGGGTTGGCCAGGAAATCAGTTTAATGACTGTGAGAAGTGGATATATAGTTTGCTGTTACCATCTTTTTCCAAAATTTGGCAGCAAAATTCTGCCATGTCTTTAATTCCAAAAATCAGCTTCACTTGAGATAAAGGCAGGAGTGGAGATTTTTATATATATAAATAATGGCATGGGCAGATGCATTTAATAATAAAAGGAAGATGTAAGACTGTCAGTATTTTCACTGTGCTATATCCTGTTTAAGAACGTGTCAACAAAAAACAAGTTGCAATGTGAAAATGAAGTTATGAGTGACTCTGTATATGGGAAATTTTAAACAGACCCAAATAAGGGTGATTTGGAATAGCATTTCTTCTAAGTGCTCTCATTCTGGTGTAGTTTGCCTGTGTTTTTAAAAGGATACTGAAACTGACAGCTTTTTGGCAAACTCTCTTGTCACAACTGTAATATGTCTCCTTTTTTTTTTCTCTCTCTGAAGGAGTTTGAGAAGAGGAAACTGCTGTAAAACCCCTGGAACATTGTCACAGAAAAGTCAAGACAGCACCTTGCCTCTATATATCTGTCGTCCACTAATCTTCAGCTGCCTGAATGTGACTGATACTTGGTTTCAATTTGACTTTAAAGCCATAAACTTTATTTCAATGTCTCCTGCTCAGAAATGGTCACCTGATTGTACATCATAGCAAATTAATAAATCTACCACTAAATTTGATTTTTGAATTCCTGAAGCTCAGTGATTTTTTTATTTTATTTTTTTTTCTCATTGCAAGACAGCATTTTTTACTTTTAGGAAGAAGAAAAAAAAAACAGCACAACCCTATCTGGAAGCATTTGAGCGCATTTTTATAGCTTGAGATTTACATACGCATTGCACTCTGAGTTAACGTAGCTTGTACAAAGATGCATTGAGTGGGGTAAGTTACCCACTTTGCAAGCACACACATTTTAAAAACCAAGCAGTCTTACTTGCTCATTACTGACTAGTAAATAGTTTATCTGAGCTTTAGGCAAAAGTTGATGCCATCCCCTGAATTACTGCTCTTGGATCCACAGGGTGTTTCCTGCTGATCCTTGCAGCTGGATATGTTGATATACGTCCAATTGTATTGTTCAGAGCTGCTGAACTATACAGAGCGTAGCCCCACATTAGTGAGGGGCTTGTTATTTTGTGTAACTTCTGGGGAAGGCTTCAGAGTGTTTGTCTTCCTTTTAATGACAAGGATTACACTTGTCCAGAGTGGAGCCAGTGCCCCATAAACGCTTTAATTGATATTTCAGAGTTATATTTATGTTCACAAGAGTTTAAATCATAGTTTCCCATGAAAATGCATATTCATACTGTGTGTAACTTGGAAATCAAATTCTTTCTGCTTATATTACCTTAACTTTTCTTCTTTTAACCTTAGACAGATGGTCCTTTGCTTTGAATGTTTTGAAATACTGATAATGTTAGGACTTGCTGCAGTAAAAAAAAAAAAAAATTCTGAAAACAAACTTGCCGGGGTATATTTCTTGTAAACGATTCACTAGTGCTACATGCGAAGGTCCTATCTTACTATAGGAATAGAGCAAATTGAGTGCCTGTAAATGAGTATTACAAGTCATAATCAGAACTGACGGCATTTAGGATTGCTTTCATTATAAACAAATAAAATCAGCTAGGGAAACCAAAATTAGCTTCTTATGTAACATTTCTTGAAGGAAAAATGCTATGTCATAACAATTCTATTCCAAAACCTCATGACCTTATTACTTAAAGCTGTAGTTGTGGTTTTCAGCAGTACACTCTGCAGTTTGTCTTGCTGCTCCATGGTCAGTGGTGAACAGGTTTTCTAATGCCGCTGTTTCAGGTCTAGAAAACCTCAGTTCTGAAGCACTGGAAACATACTCTGCCAATATCGCCCTGGTATTTACAAAGTGGGCTGTTAATTAGGTAGAAATACAATATCCATCTCAGATTAGTTTACAAAAGTAACTTGTCCTAAGACTGTCACTGGATGGTTGAAGGTGGTATGAGTCGGATAAATAGCACATTTGCACAAGTCTTTGACGAGGTTTCTCAAGGCTCTTAAGCAAAGTAGGCAGTCATGGGATAAGAGGGAAGGTCCTCTTATGGATCAGTCACTGGTTAAAAGACGAAACAAAGGGTAGGAATAAATGGTCAGTTTTCACAGTGGAGAGAGGTAAATAGCTGTGGGACCGGTGCTGTTCAACATATTCATAAATAATCTGGGGAAAAAAGAGTAAACAGTGAGGTGGCATAGTTTACGGACAATACAAAATTACTCAGAATCGTCAAGTCCAAAGCAGACTGTGAAGAGTTACTGGGTGACTGGGCAGCAAAATGGCAGATGAATTTAAAGATTGATAAATCCAAAGTAATTTACATTGGAATACACAATCCTGACTATCCATATAAAATGATGGGATCTAAATTGGCTGTTATCACTCAAAGATCTCAGAGTCATTGTGGATAGTTCTCTGAAACCATGTGTTCCAGGTGCAGCGGCAGACAAAAACTAACAGAATATTAGTAACCATTAGGAAAGAGAGATAAGACAGACAGTATCATAATGCCACTCTATAAGTCCATGAAATGACCACACCTTCAATACCACATGCAGTTCTGGTCACCCCATCTCAACAACAACAACAACAACAACAACAAAACTTAAAAGTGGAAGAAGTACACAGAAGGGCAACAAAAATGAGGAGAGATAAAAAGACTGGGTCTGTTCAGCTTAAGAAAGAGATGAGTAAGGCGGATATAATAGAGGTCTATAAAATCTTGAATAGTGTAAAGAAAGTGAATAAGGAAGTGTTATTTACCCCATCATGTAACACAAGAACCAGGGATCACCCAGTGAAAATAGCAGGTATAATAAACGATGTAATAAAGTTCTTCACACAACAAACAGTTAACTCGTGGAGCTTGTTGCCATGAGATGTGAAAATCCAAGGTATAGCTAGGTTTAAAAAAAGAACTGGATAATTTCACGGAGGATATGTTCATCAATGGCTCTTAGCTAAGATAGTCAGGGACACAACCCCATGCTCTGGGTGTTCCTAAACCTCTGACTGCCAGAAGCTGGGACTGAACAACAGACAAATTGTCCTGTTCGGTTCATTCCCTCTGACACAGCTGGCACTGGCCACAGTCAGAAGACAGGATACGAGGCTAGATGGACAATTGAACTGATCCAGTAGGGCTGTTCTTATGTTAGACTTTATAACAGTAATTTCTTAATTATTCTTGCTAATATGCTGAGTTTGCAACCGATGCATGGTTTAATCTGGAACATTTGCTGAATAGGAGAGAAATTACAGCTATAAAGTTTCATTTATGAGAATGTATGCCTGCCCTTAACCTATAAGCTGAGATGGCTTTGAGACCACTGTACCAGTGACCCCCTATTAATAGTTGAGTTGCCTTCAGTGGTGTGCTAGTGCTTCCCCAGGGGCAATTCTCAGCAGGCAACTACCGCTCAGCTTGCATGAACTTCCACGCCATTAGAAATATGACATGCAACGTCCCAGCCCACCTTCAATGTAATAAGCTGTCTATTGGAGACTGATTCACTAAAGCCTTTTCAGGGGCACAGGCTACCATAAAACTAATGGCAGTTATCCCGTGACGGAATGCAACCTCTACTTCTGAAAAGGGGTGTTTTGTTTTTAGATTGCATGTGACCCTGCTTTAACCATTACAACACTTCACCACCTGATACTCACTAGCTAGCCAGCCAGCCAGGGCCGACTCCAGGCACCAGCTAAAGAAGCAGGTTCTTGGGGCAGCAGTGCATCCGCTATTGGGGCGGCACGTCCGGGTCTTCAGCAGGAATTCGGCAGCGGGGCCCTTAGTCCCTCTCTTCCTCTTTGAGCTGCCGCCGAAGAGGAAGAGAGGGAGTGAAGGACCTGCCGCCGAAGAATGGAGCAGCGCCCTTGAGCTGCTGCCGAAGTGCGGCCAGTCGGCGCTTTTTTTTTTTTTGTGTCGCTTGGGGCGGATGAAAACTTGGAGCTGGCCCTTCAGCCAACTAGCTGTTCTCCTAAATAGGACAGCCTCTGCTAGCCTAGAACTCTGCAACACTTACAGACGTGGGTGAAGTATATCCTTACCTTGATATAAAGCTTAATTTGTGCAACTGCCTCTGAAGTAAGAGTATAACTCTGTTAACAAATGTAAGTTGTCAGCTCCTGCTGCTGTTACATTGCCTATGGAAATGTATTTCTTTTTAAATTGCTTCAAGACCGTGGTGCGTTAATGTTTCATGTGCTTGTGAATAAATACTTTAAAAGGCTGGAATGGGAACATTAGTCCTTCCCTGCTCCCTCCCCAAAAGACGAATACCTTCTACCATTAAGTCTTATTACAGTTTTAGTTCACTGATCTTCCATTTCCCTGTAACTTAATTCTTGCTGATGGAAAAAGAAAGAGTGCCTGCGTGTAATGACAAGCTAACTCTCAAGACTGACTAATGTAATCCTTTTCCAAGAGGTCAATCCTCCTAAATTTTAAGGGCCTGATTTTAGTTGTCTATTGCTTTTGTTCAGGCTGTATAAGAGACTCATGCCTCCTAAGGAGGAGCAATAGCAGATGCTTCATTTTAGGTTAATGTAAGAAAGTTTAGCATAGAACAACTTTTGCTATATATTTAAAAAATGGCCATAGGTCTATTCTACGTTCCCTTTCATTGATCGCTGGGTCTGCCCTTGGACACTATGAGCCTGTCTTCTCGCTAACACAGGTGTATGTCCATTGACTTCAATGGAGTTATTCCTGATTTATACTGTTGTGAAGAGAGTACTGGGCCCAGTGAGTGAATACTATGTATATACAAATCGGTGTATTGATTGGCCTGGCAGTCTACACAATAATTCTAAAAATCATCTTTTTTAGTGTGTATTCTATGTGATTTCTAAGGGTCAGCCATTTGCTTCCTTATGGAATGTTAGGGATATGACTATTTTTGCCTAGTCTCCCTACCTGGAAACTTACCTTCTGTATTTAAAAGATGTTATGAATTAAAGACTCTATTAAGTTCAATAAAATGAATTTCCAGGAATGTGGGCTAATAAACACTAATGCCATCAACCTCCATAAAATGGGTTCATTTGAAAGTGGAATTTAATGACATCAGAGCATTTAAAACATAAATCTATAGGACTTTCAAAACACATTTTTCACCTGGAATTCAGGTCATATACATTTACTGTACTGGTGTTGAAAAAGCCTTGGTGGATCTTTGACTAAGGTCACTTGCTTCTGCTGTAATGTCTGCAAGATATCGGTCAGCACCTGATGGCCTCATCGGAGGCAAAAAACCTCAAACCTTCTAAGCGGTTTGGAATTATGAAGTTGTGTGTGTAGCTACTGAATATAACCATGTGCTCTTCTTACTTTTACCCTTGTCCTCCCCTGCCATTCCCACCTATTGTCCATTACTTGTCATGCCTTGTATTAAACTGAAATGTAAGTTCTTCATGACAGGTCTGTGTCTTCCTATGCTTTTGTACAGCACCTATCACAGTGGGGCCCCAATCCTGACTGGTGACTTTAGATGCTCCCTTCATATCAATAAATAACACAGGCATGTTGACTCCTCACACCAGCTAGTTTGCAGTTGCCCAAAGCAACAGTGTGATGATGCTCATCACAATTCAGTTTAACATCTTACAAAATGAAAAGTCCCGTCACTTTTGGTTTACTCTCTATCTATTTTGGCCACTGCCCTTCCAGCCCGCTTATAAAGATGGGACCCCAAACTCAGGGCTGCCCAGAGGATTCAGAGGGCCTGGGGCAAAGCAATTTCGTGGGCCCTTTCCATTAAAAAAAAGTTGCAATACTATAGAATACTATATTCTCATGGGGGCCCCTGTGGGGCCTGGGG